CTGTCTCCTCAAACAAACAAATAAAAAAAGCCTTTTCCTACCTCTTGCACAGTAAAGCAAGTAATGAGAAAGATCTTAAGCAAATGAACAATTAAGCAATGCATTGGCCCAAACTCAGTGTCAATCCCACTACCCAAAAGACTTCAGAAGTTAATGAATACACTTAAAGAGTTACAGAAATGAATCCATTTAATGTCACAAACACAAAAGCAGAATCATAGAATGTTGCATCAATAAATTAGGCACTGGTAACTGCTAAAAGAGAAGTACCCACCGATGAGCTCTTGTACAGAGAATTTCAATTTTTTTTGGTGCAAATTAAAAAGCACTGTTCAAACACCGGGAAAACTTTATGTTTGTTGGGAGAACTCTAAAAGGTAGAAAATGTTATTTTTACCTATGAAGTCCAGACTTTTCAGTGTTTCCATCATCACATTCATGTAGAGATTCTTCTGATCAACGCTAAGCAAAGCCCACTCTTCCTGGCTGAAGAGAATGACTACATCTTTGGACAACAATGGCTCCTAAAACACACAACATCTTCAGGATCAGAATGGTACCATGTCCCACAATGGTTATAACAACAAACCATGACATGGAAAGACTGATAAAACGAACAAATGATAGTCAGGGAATCAGACTTCTGACTTGTTCCTTGATGTATCACATTCACTATTTCATGTTATCAAATAGGACAGATACAGAGCTGCAGAAGAATGAGTGGAAAAGGAGTGGAAGGATAACGAAGACGGAATGACATCAGATGATGGGAAGAATTATCCAAAATGCATGTATCATTAAGTGTTATATGTATACTGGGATAAGAGGTACACTGCAGAATGCGGAAGGGAGAAGAAGAGGGAAGAACATGTAAAATAATGACAAAAACGTTACAATGAATGACATATTCTATTTTACAACAATCAAACAAACAAACCCTGATACACCTGAGAAAAAAAATTACTATCAAAGTTCCTATCCTATAACATCAATTAACAGTTGAGAACGCTTTTATCCAGGACTCACCATTTCCTTGCTCTGCTTTCTGCAGTTCTAAGATCTTCACTAAAACACCACAAAATCCCTTCAGGAAGGGCCTTCAAAGTGTGAGAGGAACCCAAGATACTCTGGAGGCAGATGAATAATGTTTGGCCCACCCTCCTTTCACAGTGGTTGAAATCTTCCTTGCAATTTTAAAAAATGTACACTGGTCCCTCTTGCTCCTTATCTGTCTGCACCGGACGAGATCTCCTTCAGACCTGAAATAGACAATGTTGAGGAAAGGTGTTCAGTCTGCAAGAAGAAAGGGTGATTCACTGAGAATAGAAAATCCCAGGGCTCTGGGAGAGAGACTGGACACGTGCAGGACTGCAGGAGCAGAGCCCTAAGACTTGAAATGGGATCCTGCAGTCACCTGCTTATCCTTCAGGACAAATGTAGAGAAAAATACAATCCATGCACCAGAACATCAGAAACTCAGCCCACCTCTACTTCTGGATTCTTAGAATATAGCTGCTTTAGTAAATTGTCCTAAGGGCAAAAACAAAGCCCTAATTCCTCATACTAAAATATATTTCTTATCTTTATGTTTGCTGTCCTATACAGTTTATTTCCACAGATCTCGTGGCCCAAATGCAACCAGTTGCAATGCCAAAGGTACATGGTTGACAATTCTAAAAGTACATGGTTGAAGGCCACCAGCTGCTCCGTGGGAGAAGGATGGGAAATCTCCTCCCGTGCGATTAACTGCCTCTGAAAACCCACTGGAGGATCAGACTCAATGACATCAACTCAACCATTGATTAATTCCCCTCAAGTCTCTGTCATCTCGTAGAAACTGAAAAAGGACAAACTTTAAAAACAGAAGGGTTAAGGAAGGTCTCTACCAAGTGTTCAGCTCTTGTGAAGTAAATGGTAAATACAGACACAGGCAAGGGACGCCTGTGGGCTGCTGAGAATCACAGCCTGACCACCACATCCAGGGTGCGGCCAGGAAATGACGAGTGGTGTGAACACAGGGACTTCACACTCAGACTGACTCGAAAATTGGTCCGAAATTTTTGTCACATCAACGTTCCTTCAACACTCTATCCCTCTCTCCTCAATTTTTTTTTTGCAAGGTTTACAATCAACAAAAGGATCATGTCTTCAACCACTAGAGCACTCAAGTCATTTCACAAGCAAAGTTGTCGAATACCCTGAAAAGATGTCTGCACCATTTCTCATGCTCTCCCTGCTAAAGAGTCAATCTGACTCCCAGTGGATGTTGCATCAGGTTTAAATCCTGAAAACAGCATGAGAAAGGACTGCACTTCCTACAAAGCAGCTGGTGGATGTCATAGAGAAGTTGGATTTTCCATGAGGGACACAAAGGCCTCTTTTGTTATCGGCCGTCTCTGTGGTCAGTCAGGACACACTCAGAGCTGCCCCACCAGTAGGTTTTCACAGGTAGAAA